ACTCCGTACTCTCGACGGATATCGTTAATGATGTCCGATGGTCTATAGATCGTACGAGGATCCTGATACTTGTGCATTATCTGTCGACCAATAAACCAAGCTCGGGTTTGCCTGTGATCATTTCGACAAAATCCTACTTTACAAGTATGTTCCCGTGTGTACTTGCGAACTACAAAGCACTCATTCGTGTTCATCTTCGTCGCTCGCAAACGCCAACAGCAACGGTCGTCTACGCAGGCAATTGTCAACAACGAGTTGTTTGATTTTTTCACTTTGAACTCAAAGTTGTATTTCAACGCAATTAAGTGCACAGCTTCCTGCAAATCTTTTTACATTTCAAACAGTTGCTCGACATACAAATCCTCACTATCGAAAACCACACGAGAGGAGTTAGAGGACGGTCCACTCGATCCAGCCCCTGAGGTCCCACCCCATTCATGTCTCTATCGGGATAGAGCGATCAAATCCTCGTCTGTAAAAGTATTTACATTTTCACACTCATTGTCGTGAACTATGGACGAAATTCTGTGAGTAACTGTCTCTGAAATAATCGCATCATCTTTACGAGCTATCTGGACCGTATCCCAAAAATCATTAGCATTGTCATCCCCTCCATCTGAGTCTACTTGTTCACCTTCAACATCCTTCCTCACTAAAGTCACGCAAATAGGAGTCGAGTGCCTATTGTTCATTTCAAACAAATAATTCACTTTGACATCAGAAGAAATTGTCACAGGTGGACTCGAAACTTCCTGATCGCTGAATTTAAATTTCAATTTCATGTCATATTAAGAGAGATCGACATTTAGTTTGTTCTATAAAACATTATAGAGTTCTACATACGTTGTTTTTGTTATTGAAATTGGGATACCACCACGCTTATCACTCGTCCATTTCCATACTCGTCGATCTCTTTCGTCCAATTCGAAATCACCAAATTAACAAACTAAGACTACAACCATATCTTCATAACGAAAAAAAATTTTTAATTGCAAGAAAATATCGAACGAAATAAAAAAGTTAAACAGCCGGCCGAAACAGCCGACTGTTCGATCGGTTGTTCCAGCAGAAATTCCAGTCGACTTCGGCACTGTCCATCCAGCTATTAAATAGTCCGTTTGTCCAGTCGGGTTTTTTCAACTACTAATTGGACAGTCGGCAATTCAAATTCGCTGTCCGACAGAATAAACACGCCAAACTTTTGTAAATTAATTTTTCAGTATTAATGCAGATGAATTTTTTCTCGTTAAAGGCTTAAAATTTTCACAGATCTATTAATAAAACTATCTACATTAACATTATATGTCGAAATAAATTTTATCTATGCAAACGTAAAATAATTTAACGAAAACAAAATTAAATGTGCGTATTATAAACTTACTGATCTGATGAGATTGATATAAAAAAAATTCAGCTACCGCGTTCGATGAGTTTTTCAAATCTTGAGGTTGAAGCAGATGAAAGATAAAGGTGCTTTTATCTGTGTTGGAGTTTTTAAGTGGGAAGTGTTTGGTTTTTATTTGTTAACAAAATGGTAGTAATGTCTTTTAAACAAAACATTCTTTTGTAATTGTATAATACATTTAAAGGTATTTTTGTCTTTCAACACTCAATAGGCCATTGTCATAATTTTAAGAATTGAACAAATCAAAGTGAAATTTCCCTTCTTTGACTATTCCATTTTTAAAAGTACCCCAAGAAGCACAACCGCTGAATAATGGGCCTCCGATATCAACGGAATAGCTTTAGCCTCTACAATTAACGAGCGGCTTTCTGGGTCACTTTTTGAAAGCAAACATAGCTCGCACAGAGCTTCTGTGCAGGTTTGTTCAGAAACGGAGCTGAGCTTTGTTACAATGGTTTTCACTGTTCTTCGTTTGACAACCTCCATTTCAATTGATTCAAGAAATCATATGGGTTTTTCTTCAGAGGGAATATGAATGACTTTTTGTGAGTCCATGTATGTTGACTTAAAGGAAAAGTATTTTGATTGTATTACGTGAATGGTTGTTGGTACAAGTGATGTAATTTATCAAGAAGAAGATGAGAAAAAGTAGATCTTGACTCCATAAAGCATTTGTTGGGGAGTCATTGAACGGTGTTGTGCATGACAAGAGTTTTGCTATATGTACATCGAGGAGTCCACAACTTTTTTTATTATGCATGACCTCCTTGTGAGGGGCCACAGTGTACGAACAGCAAAACCCACGCCATCTGGATTCAACGTGAAAAGGCCAATCTTAATTCGGTCGCTTTCCCTCGCCTTGTTTTTTTTTATATTTATTTATTAACTATTCACACCAGAATAAAGCATCAGCTAGCTAGCCAAAGAGAAATCTGTGACAGATTTTCAGCTCAAAATTACTTAATCATTTCACTTCATGATGAATTATATGGTCACTTAAAGCGCTTGTTTGGACTCCATTCCTTTGCATTCTATTCTATTTTTTCCCATAAAATTTCGAAAATAACGTACAAAATGTGTCAGAATCATGCCTGGCTTTCCTGAAAAAATATTAATACACATGCAAGAGATTTTTGTGGTCAAATCTTGTTTTGTGTAACATTCCAATTCTGCCCTTCCACTTGTTGAGCCATTCCACTCACGTGCAATTGGTTACGAACTACCACCACCTAAATTGTTTATTCATTATTTTTGCAACGATGTGTTTGTACATTAATAAAAGACCACACGTAACTCGAGCAATAAAAAAAGACATGCCATTTTTTGCAACCAACAAATCAGCTTGTATACTGACGGTAAAAAACGACTCCTGAAATGCGGAAAAAAATCATGCAATTTTCCAACCAACAAATTATTTCACCGTCAAGTAGACACGCCGATTTTCATTCGACCGACATCATCGGACGTATTGAAGCATATTTTAAATGCTCAGACACGAGAAAAGAAAGCGAAGTGTCGAGCGATGACGACTTGATTTAGCAAACTACAAATGCATACTACGTACAGAAATATCAAATTAATGCACACAAAAGTACTAACGTAGCGCCTATGCCATATAATCGCATAATGCTTCCCACGGCACATTTTCCTCGGCTATTGCATCTCGCTCGGCAGCCATTTCATCGTCCTCGTCCGGTAGCTCTATTTCAACTTCTTCGTCATCCACTTCCTCGGCTCTACGAAACCCCTCATCCAGACGCCCATTTCTACGAAGAAAATTGTGTATTCCCATCGTAGCCACAACCACAGCAGTTTGTGTACGCATGCTATAACCAAGCATCCGATCAAGAATCTTCCACCTTTGCTTCCAAACACCAAATGCACGTTCGATCACGTTCTGGCACGAGGAGTGATGGAAATTAAACCATTCACAAGCATTTCTAAAATGACGGCGTCGCCCTTCTCCCACATCGTGAAATTGTTGAAAATGATATCTAATGTCAGAACCCTTATAGGGAGCCATATACGCTGGCTTATGTGCGAACCCGGAGTCGACGAGGTAGTATTTTTTGTACGTCGGAACCGGGAAATTGACCTCCGGACTATGTACAGCTCGGGCCAAGACTCGACTATCATGTGTGTTCCCTGTGTGCCTCGGCAACACGAACGTGAAACAAAGATTGAAATCGCATGCGGCCAACACATTTTGTGTTGGAATCCCTTTTCTACCAATAAAATTTTCCCTTTGATGTCTTGGCAGTACGACTCTCACATGCGTACCGTCAATTGCACCTATACAATCCTAGAAAAGTGGATAGCACTCCGGATTCGGATGATGGTGTGCGGCGCTTTCGTTTTACCGAGGATCTGGTTTTACCATTTTCACACTGAACGTTAGGCATGCCCGAAGGTCCATCATCTAGATCTGGAGCGTTATCCACTATTCCAAGATTGTATATGTGCAATTGACGGTATGCATGTGAAAGCCGTACTACCAAGACATCAAAGGGAAAATTTTATTGGTAGAAAAGGGATTCCAACACAAAATGTGTTGGCCTCATGCGATTTCAATCTTTATTTCACGTTCGTGTTGCCGGGGCACACAGGGAACACACATGATAGTCAAATCTTAGCCCAAGCTGTACATAGTCCGGAGGTCAATTTCCTGGTTCCGGCAAACGGAAAATACTCCCTCGTCGACTCCGGGTTCACACACAGGCCAGGGTATATGGCTTCCTATAAGGGTTTTGACATTAGATATCATTTTCAATAATTTTACGATGTGGGAGACTGGCGACGCCGTCGTTTTCGAAATGCCCGTGGACGGTTTAATTTCCATCACTCCTCGTGCTGGAACGTGATCGAACGTGCGTTTGGTGTTTGGAAGCAAAGGTGGAAGATTATTGATCGGATGCTTGGTTATAGCATGCGTACACAAACTGCTGTGGTTGTGGCTACAATGAGAATACACAATTTTCTTCATAGAAATGGGTGTTTGGATGAGGTGTTTCGTAGAGCCGAGAAAGTGGATGAAGAAGAAGCTGAAATAGAGCTACCGGAGAGGACGATGAAATGGCTGCCGAGCGAGATGCAATAGCCGAGGAAAATGTGCCGTGGGAAGCGTTACGCGATTATAGGGCACATGCGCTACGTTAGTACTTTTGCGTGCATTAATTTGATATTTCTGTACATAGTATGCATTTGTAGTTTGCTAAATCAAGTCGTCATCGCTCGACACTTCACTTTCTTTTCTCATGTCTGAGCATTTAAAACATGCTTCAATACGTCCGATGATGTCGGTCGAATGAAAATCGGCGTGTCTACTTGACAATGAAATAATTTGTTGGTTGGAAAATTGCATGATTTTTTGCCCACTTTTCAGGAGTTGTTTTTTACCGGTACTATACAAGTTGATTTGTTGATTGCAAAAAATGGCAAGTCTTTTTTTATTGCTCGAGTTACGTGTGGTCTTTTATTAATGTACAAACACATGATTGCAAAAATAATGAATAAATAATTTAGGTGGTGGTAGTTGGTAACCAATTGCACGTCCGTGGAATGGAAGGACAGAATTGGAATGTTATACAAAACAAGATTTGACCACAAAAATCTCTTGCATGTGTATTAATATTTTGTCAGGAAAGCCAGGTATGATTCTGACACATTTTGTACGTTATTTTCGAAAGTTTATGGAAAAAAAATAGAATAGAATGCAAAGGAATGGTGGCCAAACAAGCGCAAAGTTCCCCTTTACTCTTTAACATCAAACTCAACATAAATTAATAAAATTCAAATTCCAAATTTGACAATCAGCTAGCTGCAGGATTCACGGGCCACACCGAGTTTGGAATTGGGCACGTCAATCAGGATCCGGTGGTTCTGCTGCTGGAAGTTTGCTATTACGTTCAGAACAGAGTTGACGTTGTCGGCCGCCGACGCCATTGCCAAGCAGGAGGTCGTACCAGCGGTGCTCCGGATGATGAAATTGTCCTGCGGCAGAGTAACGTTCATGCCGGAGAATATGAAGGTGATGGAGGGAATGGTAATCGGCACGGTGTAGCAAGTGTCGAAGCCACCGAGAGAGGACACTGTGGCGTTGCCCATCCTTCGCCGGTACTCGTCTCGAACAGGGATATAGGCTGCCTTCACCAGACTAGTGAAGATAGTGCCTATTTGTAATTAACACCAAATTTATTATAGAAAAGAAAATAAAAGAATAAGAACCTATCTAAAATCCCATTAACCCGTAACAATTTTGAATTTTCACCACCAAAAATAATCAAAGCAATCATAAATTAACCTTTTCTCGTCGGAAATTATGAGAAAAACACATCAAAGTTGACTTTTGGGAAAATTTGCAAGTCCAAGAATGTATGTTCCCAGTTTACCTTTCAAATAAAACGGTGCGAGGTTATTTAAAAGTGAAGGAATGGGAGGATTATTTTTGGAAATTGGTTTTTAAAAATGAGGATATTTTTGACATTTGAATTTAAAAGTTTTTGCAACAATTAAAGTGCCTAACAATATACTGTGCACTTCGTAATTTTTAAGAATTAAATTACTGTTGAAAATGAGAAGCTTAATAGTCCTAAAATATTGTATGTAACCTTTTCTTCCAACTTGTCCAACTAAAATCACATAAAATTTTGTAAATGGATAAATCGACCCTAGACACGTGTTAAACGAAAATTTCTTTCTCAATGAAAGAACTTACAAGTGATATTATCCTAGTTTAGTTACAGGCTATTGTTGGATCGGGCTTATGTTTATTGTCCAAGATTCTCTGTGCTTCAACTTTTCAACGCTCTCTCCTTAATTTTCTACAACTAGTATACTAGTAGATATTGTGACCACGCATCCCATCCGTTTTAACGTCCCATTCCGTTAAGTCCATTTTATGAACATTTTTCTTTCAATAATCTTAAAAAATTTAAGATTAGAGCTAAAAATTGTAAATAAAGAAAAAAAAAGGTGAGAAAAGTTACCAGAATCGATGACTGTTCCGGCACCGGTGTTGGGATCAAAGGCAAATGCAGTAGCTGGGATATCCACAACTTTATTTCCAACCTTAATTGCCATTAAATTCACATAATAGAGTGATGATCTTCTTGGATTTTTAAGCA